GGTATGTCTGCTTGTTTGTCCTGCGAGTATCCTGCCACTATATATATGTGTCCTGTGTGTTTGTGTGTGTGTGTGTGTGTGGGGATCCCAATGTAACCCAAAATGGCCGTTGAAGTGGTTGAAAGCGATTACGCCGACTGCCAAAGGTTGACACACACGCGCGGGCGAGTGTGTCTGAGGGAGTGTGCGTGGGGGACCTGTGTTTAAATGTTGTATGAATGAGCTTTTCGGAGGACACTTTCCCCACTTGGACCCACTCACACACACATACACACGGGGGACTGGGAGTTATGGTTGGTCCCCTACAGCTGCCAAGGACTTTAAGCTGCCCGACATAAACTTTACCTCAGTTACACCCAGATGCTCTATTAATGTCCTTGCTCTTTGACAAGTCATTGAGGGAGCCTTTTGTGGCCCTAGACTGATATTTATCCCGCACCGGAAAACATATAATTTGACAAACAGATTAAAAGGACATAAAGCGTGTTCGTTTCACTTTTGCTTTTTGCTATTTATCATAGCGCAGGGAATTCCCCGGATTCCTGCATGGAAATCTCTCCGGGTTGATGCCTCTCATTATTGCCAGTTCATCGACATTCCAAACACCGTGGCTCGTGGTATGCAAAAACATTATGACAAGTGCGCTGGTACCCACTGAAATAACCCCAACCTTTTCACCAATTTATTCCATTCTCCCTTACCAGTCGGGGTGCAAAAAAAGAAAGGAAACTAACAACGGGAAGCCGAAGTTTATATACCCTTGTAGTTGTTTGTAGGATAATTAATCGAAAATCGATCATAACTAAGCTTAGAATTATAAAATTTTGTAATCAATATTTATAGATATTTTTACATGAAAATTTATTCAACAAATCAAAGTATAAAAATCTCATAACTAAGCTAAAAAGGCTTTAATTTTAAGTCGGAAAGCTGTCCTATGTTAGTTTTTACACGGTTAAAAAATCTGCATACTCAATATAAAATGTAAAAAAATTCAAATTTTTATTCATTTTTTTAAATTTATACGATGTTAAAAATATTGAAAAAAAAAAATGTTTTTTTTTTTTCTTTCTGACATAGCTAGATCGATTCGTCCGTTGATGCTGATCAAAAATAAATATGATTTATATGGTCATGGAAATAACTTCTAAACAAGTTACAAGCTTTTTAGTAAAATTACAATACCCTGCAAGGACATCAAAAGGAAAGGACTGGTAGAAAAAAGGCTGAAGACACATCTGGTCCGGGTTCGTCTGGCGCTTATTAAACTGAAATCCCCGCCTCAAGTGCCTGCTGCCATTGCCGGCTGCCTGCAGTTAACAATTTTTGCAAAACCACCAAGCAAATTATTATTGTTTTTCTTTGCCAGCCAAGCTTTGGTCGAGCTTAGAGTTTTGCAATGATAAAAAGAAAAAGGAAACCGAACAGAGAGTGCTCTTTGAAATATATTTAAAAAAACTGTGGAAAACTGTGATATTTTACTTTAAGAGCTGCAGAATATCTCATCTCAACATGTCAAAATTATTACTTATGCCTCATTTGTTTACTTTTGAATGTAATTATTAAATAAAATATTGAAAATTACAAGTAAGATATCTGAAAAATGTATAATGGAAGACTTCCTTGTCCTGCTTACACCTTAACCTTTTTTATATAAATTTCTATATATTCCTTTATATTTTTAAAAATATTCTCCTTGTCTCAACTTTGTTGGTTGACAATTCCATAAGCTATAAGCAAAGCGTGGACTCTTTGTTGCTTCTCTGGTTCCTCTAACTCCTTGCTGTCCTTATGGCCATAGTCTGAGCCTCCTTTAACCATTTTCCCGGCTCCTTTTTTCCAGCTACAACATCAGCTTCTGCTCCTGTTCCTGCTCCTGCTGGTCCTGCTCCTTTTTGGAGCTGCGCGCGTGGCGATATAATTGAATGTCTCAGGTGTTTTGTCAGACATTGCTTAAGCCTTTGCCGGGCGGGGATTTTCTACTGATGTCCCTTGGCAGCGCGGATTGCCTTTTTAAAGGTCCTTAAAGTGTTGCCCCTGCCCCCCCCCCAAGGCGAGAGAAGGACTGCCATTGGAAAGGTTTTCTGCCGTGTGACATTCAAATCCGCGCCATTTCAGTCCACACCCACCGATGCCTTCACCTGCCCGGCCTAATTAAAACATTCATCTTCATTTTCACCTTTTGCCTAATTAATTCACACAAAAATCAACTAAATTAATATGAAAACCAAGCCAAGAAGCTGACAAGCTGCTGACCACCCCAACCTTATTGCCTTTCGGCTGTTTTTGTTGTTCCTGTGCCATTTCGGACGCTAACGAGAATTAATGGTTTGCAGTGTGGCACACAATTACGACAGGGAAAATCTTAGGTAAGCAGCGCCGAAAATTGTCACCAGGCTCAGGCAGAAGGGGGGGAAAAAAAAATATATATATATAAAGAGAGAGAAGAAAACGAAACGAGAAATAGAAGGAAATACAGCTCCACATAATTGGCTTTGCGGGGGCGGCTGTGTCAAAAACTGCTCAATTTACGCGTCGTGAAATTAATTTATGCCCAATGCAATAACCTCGGCAACGTCAATAAAATACATTAGGGCCAGGAGTCCTTCTTAGGTGGGGATTTCGTCCTGTACCAGGGATGGTGTGGCTTGAGACGATTCCTGCGGGTGCTGGGTGCTGGGTACTGGGTTTGGTTAGTTAGTCTGGGACAGACGGTTGCCTAATTGCGCTTTGTCAATTTGAAATTAAAATTGCCTTTCGCCCATGCACAAACACACACGTGTCCAGGAAGGAATAAACTGAGAAAAAATTCTAGATAAATATATTTGGGAAATTGTTTAACAATATTTCAAGAAATTAAATCTATTTGATAGTTCGATGTCAAAGAACTCCTTATCAATATATGCATGACAGTGTATTTAAAAAAGAAAAGAAACATTGACAGACATTTTAATATTTGATGTAAACTTTGAACAAAACATTCTTTAAAACATTTCTAATTAGATTTAGTATATTGCTTTATGACAAAGAGAATATATTTCAGGAATATTTTATTTTTCCCTCAAACAGTCCTTAAGAAACACTAGGATCTTTCATAAACAATCATAAAGGTTTGGGTATGGAGATATTTTATATGAAAATCACCTTTTTATAATCAGTAACTAAACCAGTTCCACATTTAGTATGGTCATCAGTAGTTTGCAGATAGAAACCTTTGGGAATTCTAGTGCAACTCAAGCGGAATTTATGCTGTACGTCCTTAAATAAACCACAAATTTTAGATAATTATACTTCATTTTAATAAATACCTCATTTTAGGTTTAATATGAAAAGCAAACTTGAGATATAGACGGTTTCATTACATACACGAAAACAGATCATTATAGTAATGTTTTTTTAGAAGCGACCCATAATCAAAAAGATCTTATTAGTTTCAATATTTGCTGTGATCATACGTTCAGTAGGAGTGCCTATTTAAGCTATAATTTATAAATATTTTTAAATAACATTATATATACATAATTTGCTAGACTTCGACTCACATAACTCTTGTATATAATTTCCTAATGAATCTCAAGCAACTTGGTAACAATTATGCTAAATGTTTAGCTTGATTTATGTATAAGCTAATACAAATGCCCTACAAAAATGTTTATTTATATTACTTCTATACGTTTTAATGAATCATATCATTAATATATTTTTATATATATATTTTCTGAAACATTTTGTACTCATTTAACCTTCTTTATCTCTCAGTGTCCGCGCACCAAATCACACACTCTCCCAGGCCATCGCTCTCACACGGCGAGCGTAAGAAATGCGCCTTGCAAAAATAAAAATTTCCATAATTTAGCGATCTAAATGCAAGTGGCGCAATTGAAGCGTAATTAGACCCTGCCAGTCACTCACACCCCACACCAAGCACACCCACACACACTCACACACACTCACAGGGAAATAGGGCTGGCGCTAATTGGTTTCTGGTCAGGATCGCCGTCCTGCAGGGATGCAGGATTCAGGACCTCGGCCGGCTTTCATCGGTGCGCCGCCAATTAAAAACGTGCCCACATTATGCTTTATTGACTGCCCCCATCCACCGCCCTCAAGGATACACCCCCATTGGCACAGGATTCTTTCGAATGTATCTTTCAATACCCAAAGGACTCGCTTTTCCCACCTGGCAAAATGGGAGAAAAAAAAAGGAAACATAGAAAATAAAAGGGAGATGGGTGGGCGTGCCTTTTAGCAATAATAACGTCCTCGGATGGCCATAAAACAAATCATACGAGTTTATGGTCACCTTACCAACATTGTCCACTGCGAAACTTTATCTTTTTATATGCGGCATTATTGCCACAGATTAGACACGGGATTTAGTACAATGCCCACATATACACACAGGTGGGAAGACGAGGACGAGGAGGTCCTTGTACGCATATATGTGCGTATCTACATATAGGGGTTACCATTCTATTTTTTTTTCCTTTCGATTGCCAGCATAACGAATTAAATATGACCATTTGTATAATGGCCGAGACTTGAATTGGAGAGAGAGTAACTTCGATATCTAATACAATTATGGCCGAGGGGGTTTATACCATGTATTTTCGCATACGTATGCAAGGATGTATCCAGAACAAATTCGAATGCAAAATGCATGACATTTCCTGTTTAATTTTCAGCCGGGTAAGTGCTCTGGCTTAACTCCGAATCTCCTGGATGGCCAGCACACAAAATAGGATTGGCCTGGGGTTTTGTGATGGTTTTTGGGTCTAACATTGAATGTGAAATGACGGTATCTGAGATCTACCAGCCTCGGGATATATTTTTCACACAATAAAGCCTGTTTAGTTGATGGGACGAAATTGTTGAGATATACTTGGGATTGTATTTATTTAAATGTATACTCCCTAAAAGTATCTATATCTATAGTATAGCGACATGGAATGCTTCAGGGATTTGTAGAGTTACTTTGGTAGCTCGTTATATCCCAAGAACATTAAATATTTTAATATTTCGAGCAAAGTAAGAGGCAGGTCTATGGATAGACCCACTTCCTAGTCCTTAGAGGCTGTAACCCCTACTGACGCCTGCCTGTAGAACACATTCTTCCCCTTGATTGGCAGTGGATGAGCCTCCGTATTGAATACCCATTTGTCCAACGGCAACAACGAGTCATCCGAGAACAACAAGTACAAGTACTTTAGTGTTTCCGCCAGGAAGAAACTTTGCTGAACATCGTCCTTCTGCGGTTTCTTTTGATAGACATTCCGCAGACCACTGTATCCATGTGCCGTGCGGCAATGCTTCTCCAGGGCCAGGACTCCGTCCCAGCCCCAATCGCGATATTTCTGATCATGAGTCAAACGCCATAGAACAAAATAGCTCTCAAAGGTCTCCGGTCGCAGGATATAATACTTCTCCTCCGATCGCAAGGCTCGAGCCTCCACACCTTCGTTGAATCGAAAGACCTCTGGTCCCAATTGGGTTGGTGCTCGTATATAACTCTCGTGACAGGTGTTTGTTATACCCTTTGCAACCTCCATGTACCTGTCCGTATAATCATTTAGCCTTGTGACCGCTCCCAAGGCAAACATGCCGCCCGAGAAGCAGGCCAAATGATCCATTTTGTGCTCCAGCCAATTATTTTGGAGATCAGAGACATAGATCAGGCCACTGCGGCTGGTGTACACCATCTTCTCCAGAATCGGCACCATTGCCTCGTCGTACATCTCGCGTGCCTCCTCATCAGTTTGTCCCGATTGTAGCCAGGACTTTAGTAAATACTCGTAATAACTGTCACCTAGTCCTCCCAGGGATATGTGATACTGTCCCCATTTACCCGTATTTGGATTAAGATAATTTGGATACAGGCCATTCGGTTTCCTAATCTTCTTAAGCAGCTGACGAATGGTTTGAACCCTTTCCCGATACACCGGATTCCCAGTTATGTCACTCAAATAGGTGAACTCTAGATGCAAGGTACCAAATTCGGAAAGGATCGAAGTGCCATCAAATGTCCATTCGTGATTCCTGACCATACCGGTCTGTGAGTAAACCAGTGCATAGGGAATCCCCGTGTGAGTTTTGAAGGCAGGCAACAGTTTGTCCGCAATTTGCTGAGCACGCTCCTTGTACAGTGGATCCCCGGTGAAGGCGTACATTGTCAACATACCGCCAACAAAGCGAATGTTTGTCTCGAAGACATTTAGCTTCACATCAATGTTGTCCAGCGGAAATTCCCGTTCAATCCAGTCACGACCCTCGCGATACTCCTTCTCCAGTCCCATAATGTACAGGGTGTCCAGACCATCTATTATCGTGGCACCTAGATCATGGAAACCAAAGACGCTGTCCCAATGGGGACGCCGCGATAGGGGACGCAGCTCGTTCTTGCCCCAAGCGTACCGTTTGTAGTTGTGCCACGCATGCAGCATCATCTCTTTGACCTTTTGCCGACGCTGCTGAAGGGTGGGATTCAGGGAATCTGGTGCCTGATCATTGCCACAGCCTCCGAGAGGAAGATGCGACTGTTGGGTGGTGCCGTCACTGCCTTGAACGGGTGTCCCCACATGCTGATCATCCTCGTCATTGGTGTTCCGTTCCTGTTCCTGATCCTGCTGGTCTACCGGTGCTGCTGCATGAGCCTGACCCTCGTCTGTGACAGGAATCGTCTCCACAATTTTCTGGGAAGGATCCTGGACAACTTGACCCTCTCCAGATGGAGCTGGAAAGAAGGTCTCTGTCTCCACATCCTGGAAGTGCTTGTAGACCAAGAGAACCCGGTTTTCCGGCAGTAGGAAAATGATGGCGAAGCAGAGGAAACACAAGGTTAGCACCACGAGTCCAATCAGACATTTCTCAAAGGAACAAACCTTTGATTTCCGTCCAATTGAAATAATGCGAGACATGGTGAAGTCTTACGGAAATTACTACGCTTTCTATATCTCTGATTTCTTGCTTTTTAATTTTATTGTTTTGTAGAAGACTTGCTATGCATTTGTTGCTATTTTCAGGTTTTTATTTATAAAATTAGTTCATAATAGAACATATTATAGGGGTTCCAGTGTGCCCGAGTTGCGCTAATTCGAAAAGGATAACTATATTTGTGTTGTATTTCTTTAATATCTTGAAGTAGTTCAAAATATTAAAGATTTATAGGTACATACAACATATATAATACCAGATTACTTGTCTAAAAACTATTTTGTTTTATTTTAGGTGTTTTGTTTTAGTTTTCTTTTAAAATTTAGTCATTTTGCTACGCTTTTACCTTTGTTGCAGTACATTTCCTTTCACAGGTATGCTTTTACTTGCTTTTTCAACTTTCTTGACACCAAATTTGGTACTTTAAGATATCCCTTACCATCTAGACTTTGCCAAGTAGGACAACTGCCATCGTAGATTCTAATTTGATGAAGTTATTTGCGAACCAACTGCCATAAATAACAATTTTTTTTGTTAAGAAAACGGAAAGCGACAAAAGCCAAGTTAGCAGCGAAAAAAAGAAAGAAGGTAGATGGAGGCTGTGGCGGAGCAAATGTAAATTAGAAGCCAACTGTGACTGTCTAGATAAGAATGTACTTATGTATATATCTAAACGGGGAATGTTGTGAAGTTGAGGGGGGAGTGGGAAAAAGCTGGCAAAGGAGGAAGCTGGTGATGCCACACCAGGACCCTGAAACGGAATGCGGTTCGTGCCTTCGTCGCGGGGCACCAGTGTGCGGCATTTTATTTCGCATTAAGAGATTAAGATCAAAATTAAAATTTAAATTACCATGCGACACGCTGTGAGTATCTGTGTTTGCTTTGTCTCTTCTCAGCTCAGCTTGTTGCCCGTTTTTTGATTGCCTTAAATTGCTGCGAGTTTTCATGGATTCTGCATTCTTTTAACTGAATCTTTTTGGCGGGTATTTAAAAAAAAAACGGCAAGAGTGTAATTAATTTGTGTGAATACTTACCTTGGCAGCGGCAATGAGACTCGTTGATTGACAGACAACTTAATTGGGTTTTCTTGGAAATCTTCCTCCCCGGTAGAAACTTGCAATTAGCTAGCTCGAACTTTGTACTGAGCACTAAATCCTTGTAAAGGATGCCACCACCGTTAACAATTTAAATGCTAGCAACTACAGATGTACATGGAGAAATATTTAAATGAAATATGGGAATTGATATAAAAAAAACTGAATAAATAATGGAAATATAAGGTACTTGAGTTTGTTTTTAGAAATATTAAAAACTTCATATCAAATTAAGAATTAAGAAAGAATTCTAAAAGAATTTATGAGCTTCCTTTAACATTGATTACTAAGTTGTCAATATTTTACCTTTAAGCCTTTGGAAATTTCTTGAAAATTCTTTAACAAATTCAATAAATTTCACAATGTAATTTTATTTATATTTAAATTTTTACATTTTGAAAGGATTTTCTCCTCGTGCATTGCTGTTATTCTTTAGAAAGTATATGTAACCAAAACTTGCCGCAATGTCAGCATCATTTCAGTATCAGTCTGCGTCTGCGGCTGAGACACAGGCTGAGTCCTGAGTCCTGAGTCCTGGAGTCCTGGCTGCCTCATCCACCTGAGCCCATACCCCATCCCCCTCCCCCCTCCGGGGGAAAGGAACGAAGCAAAAAGGGCTGCAAGTGACGCAATGCAAAATCCTTACCACAAGCTCTAGAAAAATTTATGAGCACTCAAGTTGATTCAATTTAAAATTTCTCCATGCGGCTGCTAACCCAATCCCTTGTTCGTTTTTCTTTTTTTTATTATTATTTTCCTTTTTCGGTTACCCCTTTTTATCCCCCCCTTTTTGCAAATTTTCAGCCTTCAGTGGCAGTGGCCCACCGAAAATGTGACGCTGACGTCTCATTTTTATAATTAGGCTAAGCCCAGGCCCAAAGCCAACTTGCCAACTGTGCCTGCTTTTCTCTGATTTTCCCCCGCTTTTCCACACAGCACGGTTCTGGGTTCTGTTGTTTTGGGCCTGGCTAATTGTGTGTGCGAGGGAAGTGCGAGGAGTCTTGCCGTTGCCAAGGTTTTTCCTAGTGAACTATGGTCTATATATATACTAGATAAAGTGCGGTCATACTGTAAAAAAACTACAATTTATACAAAAATAATAATAATATCTTATGAAGAAAAATAGTACTTTCTTTTTTTTTCTACCTGAATCACATTTTTTTCTATTATAAATGTGTACCAAAATCAGAATAAAATATTTAACTCTTTGAAAAGGAGCAAAATAAATTATTATGGTGATATGACACTGGAAATAATAAGTAAATAATTTCCATACACATTATGTACATTTTCAAATAGTTTTTGAATAACTTAAAAGTTAAAAAAGGAAATTAAATCAAATAAAATGTATATCTGCCCTTTATATAGATATTTTCACATTTGATGCAATATTATATATATATTCCACTATGGGATTATGACACCAACTTGTTGCTTTTATTCAATTCAATTAAGAACAATTTTCATATCTGTATATAGATCTCTGAAACCTTAAATAAATAAAAACAAACAATACAGTAATATAAACCCTTAAGAGATTTAACACCATATTTAATAATATATTTATATATATTTTTTACTGTGCAAATTCGCTTTCCAAACAGAGCAAAACTTTGCCTGTTGTTGTTTCGGACATTTCGGGGGAAAATCTAACAAAAAATTAGCAACTGAAAACAACGGCTGATGAGAAGCAACTAAATTTTGCTGGGAAAACGTAAAGTTATTCGCAATTTTGAGTGGCATCAATTTTGACATTTACCTGCAGCAGGGAAAGTTTTCTTATATTTTTGTTGCACTTTTTCCCGCTAACTGGGCACCTTTCCCTAAGCCGATTTCAAGTAATTTCAGCATTAGATTGCTTTCTTTTTCGGCTGGGAAGTTGCGAGGCGAAAACTTTTCTTGATATGCCCAATCAGGGCGGGCAGAAATTATTAAAAAAAAAGAGAGATGGAAAATGAAAAACAACATAAAAAATAAGGAGAAAATGCAGGGCAGGGTTTTCCCAGCAACTGCAACTAAAGTCCGGGGCATGGAATGTGTCAGGATGTATAAGTCTGTAAAAATTCCAGTTTGGCTTTTGTTGTTCGTACCCGCACCATTGTTGTTTTGTGTTGGAAAAGTTTTTGGCGCAACGGGTGCGGAAGTTGCAGCTGGAAAAGCGTAGTGGGTGGAGGGGCAGAGGAGGCGGAAGTGGCGCATGCAAAGTGCAAAAGCTCGTTGAATATGACCGGGCATTAAAGATGCCATAACCGTGAGTGTGTGTGTGTATGTGTGTGTGTGTGGGTCGGATGTCAAAAGTTTTGTTAAGTAAAACCTCATGTGCATCTAATTAAAAATATAAAAAACTTTATTTTAAAGCCGCCAAAGAAAACTTTGTCTCCTGCGGAAATGAGTGTGTATGCCAGTGTGTGTATGTGTGTGTGTTTGGTAATAAAGCGCAAGGATTGTTGCCTCCTGGCTGCCTGCCTCCTGTTGTATTTAAAAGTTCCTTGGCATGTTTATCAGCATGCATGTGTAAAAGGATTTTTCGCAAATGAGCTGCCAAATTGGCGTAACTTGCAAATGTTTGCTACGTGGCAAAGAAGGTGACAGCCTCATACCCACAGAAAAAATTATAACATACACAAAACACGGTGAAAAGCGAATGAAAAGTTTTTTGGGGGAAAATCCGCATGCTTAATTAGTTTCTTTTCAGTGCTGCAGGAATTGTCAAAAATAAATGAAACCGACAAGGGAAATCAGGAGTCAGGAGAGTGCTCATATTATATAATTTATGGTTTAAACTTTGATAAATAATTATTTTGGGGGGTTAAGGATTAGGATAAGAATATGTATTTTCTTTTAAATTAAATAAACTTGAAGGAAGATTTATTAAAAGAATGATATACTGTGTGTACTCAAAGAAAACTAAACTATAACATTTTGAAATTAATGTAAAGCCAATTAATCATACTCTTTACATAAAAATTGCTACCTATCATAGTTTTAATAAAACCTGCCATATAAGGCTCCTATTTTTTAATACCAGACTTCATGATTTTACCCCTAAAAATGTTATATATTATATTTCATTAAAGTCATAATTTCATGACCAACCCAAGCCTATAAGCTTCTTAATTCCAAACCCCTGACCACTACCAGTAAATTTCCTGGGCCTTGAAAAATCAGCTGCTGGCGACAAGTCAAAAGCTTAATGGTTTGCTTTTGACAACCAAAATGCTTACTACCACAACAACGGGGGGAAGATATTGGCCATGTTTCTGGGTCTTAAAAGAGGAGGGTTACTAGAGAAGGATTCATCAAGAGGATTCAGGAGGAGAAGGAGAAGCTCCCTGACCGTGGCAGACAGATCCAGTGACAGTCACAGCCGCAGCCCGTTTGAGTGACTGACTGTGCCTTCGACTTGCACAGAGGCCATCATCAGTGAGCCAGAATCTCTCTCTCTAGACCCCCCAATCCTTGTGGTTGTGCAACTCCATTTCCACCTCCTACTCCCTGCTCCCCCCTTGAGGTCATTAATGCAGCTGGAGGCTCTATAGAGACCCCCTTAACCCTTTTTTTTTTGGGGGGGGGGGAATTGAAGCCGAACCCCGAAATGCTTTGCATTTCTACTTTTGCACTGGTGGTCGCATGTCCTGCGAATTTTCCAGGACCCACTGGAAATTTTCCGGACTGATGGAAATTCAACCCTCTCCCCCCATTTCAGTTTCGAAAAAATAACAAACGAGCACAACATGAGCTGAAAATAAGATTTTTGAGTCATTTCGTTTTGTTGCGTTTATGTGTGAGAGGGTCCTGCGAGTGCGTAAGTGTGTGTATATATGTGTGTGTGTGTGAGGAGTTGTCCTAGTCTTGGTGACATCGTCTGGCTGACTCTGCGCCTCACTGGCTGATGTATTCATGAAATCGTGTGATTAATGGCTCGCACAACATTTGCACACACTGCTCCCGGTCCTGCTCTTGATCCTTCTTC